TTTGGTTGTGTGGCCTGCACTTTGACTTGCATTCCACCTCCAGCGCTTCCGAGCATGTACACAGTTGGCAGCTGTGTTCGAATGACTGTCCAATGTTGTACTGCTTTGCTTCAAAAGTGCACTGGTGCAGACGATTCGTTTTGAGGCGACACCCCCGAATAGGCTCCTCGCTGGTGTATCCATCTAGGCAGACGCACTTGTGTATTGAATCCTCATCGCTGTAGATGCATTTAGCGTTAGAGCCACAGTTGAATGGACATTTGGACTCCAGCGAGGAGTTGGCCGGGGCCTGGCATGACAGTCCGCTGCAAGAGTTTGGACAGCACTTCTTGATGCCAGTACAGTGGTAATCATGGCTACACTCGCTCTGTGCGTTCTTTGGCACACACGAAGTGCTGTTCTTCGACGATACTGCAGCACATTCTCCGGGTTTGTCGATAAACTTTTTCGAATTTGAGCTTGCCTCTTTCGGACATCGAAAACAACAGGAATCAGTTGGATGAGGAGAGCAGTCGACGCTTTTGTTGGCTGAGATGACTGGCACAAATGGTGGGTGACATCTGTAAAAAATGATAAGTTTACAAAACTGGCAATTAATCTTTGTAACTTTCGAACCTTTCAGTGCAAGCTAAACTTCCGCCCGACTGACACCTGCACATCTGATCACAGTCGGCGATAGCCATCTCCCCAACGGCAAATGTTTGATTGTCACTTCGACAGCCATCCATCGTCGATGCATTCACCACTTCCGATGTCGTCTTCACTCTTTCTCCAAACTTTTCCCACGTGAACACCTGTATCTGGTACTGTGTGCTAGGCATAAGATTGCTGAGCACATAGAACGGCCGAGAGCTGTTCGATGACACGACGGTCCAATTTTGATCGCCAATCGCTCCATCTTCAGCAATGGTTCGGTATTTAAAAGCATAACCAAGTTGGTAGTTTGGAAGCTTAAAATCATCAAATGCGATGCTCAGTGAGCTAATATTTCGCGCCGTGACCAGAACCTTAGGCAATGTCTCCACCAGAGTGTTTTCTTGAAAAGCTAAATTTGTAAGTGGTCCCATTGCCCATTCATCAACTGCCTTACCACTTGTGCGAACAATGGCAAGCTCATGCTTTCCATTGTCAGATACTTTCACTAGATAGGTGGTGTTCTCCTTCAAACCGTCCACTTTGGCGCTCAGTCGATTAGGTTCACTCTTCGTAATGTAAGGCT